ACCGCAATATTTCTGCTGACCTATTCTACGACCAGGTGTACTGTAATTTTGAGATTAGTCATTACCATTCCAAAGGTTGTTCAAATTTATGTTACTTTTCTTATCACAGTATTTCAGCCAATTCATTGTACAACATTCTTCAGACAATACATGGAGATAAAATAGTATTAAAGATTATTTCAAAAATTTGTTCAAAGTTTATTTTCAGATATTCCTTCAAAATAATTTTTCTTTCACCTTACTTTCGTTTTTTATTACAACATTCAAATTCTTATTGCAATCATTAAAACAAACAACTGGAATCAGAAATAAAAAAAAAGACACACTCTTCAGTGAGACTTGAACATGCATTCCCTATCCATGAAGAATGTATTGCATATCACTTTTGTCTACATGGCTAAATTGATTCATTCCTCTTTTAGTGGTTATAGTATATAACAACTTAAGTATTATATCTGTGACCAAATTCATATAATTGATGAACATGTAATACATGCTCATTTGTGGTTTGGTTAAATTAACAACATATCAATTATTGGATTATTAATTGTCAAATATAAGTCTTGTAGGATAAAAATCACATTGAATTGATAGATAAGTAGACATAGGTCCAATAAACACGAGAGTAAAAAATGTAGACACAGTTCAGGTTTATGCCAGATTTTGCAAGTATCCACTCTGAAAGTGGCTCCTTTTTCATAAGATGACATCTTACCCTTCAGTTAGGGGACGCAGTTTGTGTATTCTAAGCTCCACTGACATGAGTGATGCTCCTAGGATATTAATGCAAGTTGTTTAGGGTCTTTTTTAAATGACATGTCTATTTAGAACATAGGTGGTCTAGGCTCCCCACAGCAGGTGGTCTAGGCTCTCCACAGCTTCCTTTTTCTTTGTTATCTGTGAATTACTATGACATCTTGGTAAAGATAGTGGTTCGTCCTTGCCTTCTCTATAGTTTTGAATTCAGATTAGACATTTTTCTAAACTGGATAGCCCAGTGCTGGGGAAAGAAAAGATGCACTTATGCCTTTCCTTAGTGCATTTGTGCAAAAGTGAATGCAAGAGAGTAGGCAAGGATTTGAACTTGTCTTGTGGGAGATGGACCACCCCAAATCTGACCATTCAAATACAATACAAATATTTTATTGCATTTGATTTCTTTAGAAATGAGCAAAACCAGACATTCATAAATAAGTAAAAAAAAAAAGTACAAAGAAAAAGCCTCTATCATATGATCTAAGGATAAACTTACCAATGTCTGTGTGTATATATATATATATATATATATTCATATATATATATATATATATATATGAATTAATTTATGTACAGAGCTCACCAATTGAATCTAAGTCTTCTCTTAAATTGGTAAAATTTTAGAAATATATCAGTCTAGAAAGAATTAAAATGTAATTAAGTTTTAAAATTTGTAATTATATAGGAGTTGGGTGGTTGTCTAAATAAAAAGATTTTCATTGATAACAGAATTTTGCTGCTTTTAAAGTAGATGTTTGATGGCAATTACCGTGTGACACGTTCAGAAAAAAAAATTGAGACTAAAGGTGTAAGGGAGATAACTCTGTCTTGTGTTTACTTTTCCATAGAAAACTTCAAAATTCTTGCTGGCCGATTTTGAATGTCCTAAATAAAAAGAAATTAAACAACTAATATTGAAATCAGCCGGGTAATTTAAAAATTTGTTTTAATAAATTATTTTCATTGGTGCATAATAAATAGATGTTAAGCCAAATTCATTTTTTTTTTTAATTAGCCTAGTAATATTGATTTACACATTTAACTTCGTGGAGTTTTTTAAATGTTTCTCTTTGAATAAAACATTAAAAATTCTCCTGATTCAGCAGGTTTCGTCATGACCAATCCTATCCTAAGAATTTTTCTTTTTAAAAAAAAATTATTTACAACTAAAAGAATAGTTCTGTAAAACTATCTTTCCAGCTAAAAAAAAAAAAAGAAAAGAAAAAAGCCATTAAAGGCTGTTCAAGCAGAAGTGGGTAAAAACTAAAAAGCAAACCAGAATCTGAGTGTGTATGTATGTATGTATGTATGTGTGTGTGTGCGCGCGGATGTATTGTATTTTTTTTTTTTTGGTTTGTAACTTTTACGAAATAGATGTTCTTCAAAACTCTTAAATATATCAACATCACTATCTTTCTTCTTTTATGGGCAATATCCTTTCAGGGTCTGGACGATTATGGCTCCCCACAACTTCTTGTTCTTTGTAGCTTTTATCAATATTTGTCTTTTTATTAGATTTCCTATGCCCTTGTCGGAGTTAGCTCCTCCTTTAGTTCTTTAACCCTCCACCAGGGTCTCTCTTCTCTGGCTATAAATACTGGCTGACCCTTTGCCTCGATCTCTTTTTTCCTCAGGCTTTGGGCCTTATACCACCTTGCATATGTGAGCTCTCATAGATACAGTGTTTCCCAAATTCTTAAAACACACTAAGAACAATACACGTATGTACGAACACTCACCACAATACACACACACACACACACACAAACTCAGTGTAACTGTCCATGTGTTTGTAACCTTTTGTTAATACATATATTTGTTTGTATATAATTATCGGTTTTGTTTGTTTTCTTTGGACTTAATTAAAGTCCAACATTCTCATGAAGCTGGGCCGGCTAGCAGGAAAATTTAACCCACGTGTGTTCTTTACATCTTCACTGCCACGGTCCACTACACCCTATTCTGCCACCATCAACACAAGCTTGTTGGATAGCTTTCTTGCTTTCTCTCTGTCTCTCATGCATTCATTATGTTCTATGAGTGTCAAATTCTCCAAGCCTTCTTTCCTCATCATGTATCACAAATGTGTTTCAACTGTCCCTTTCTAAGGACGAGTGTCATTTTCGTTTCCATTTTACTTAAAAACTTCCTCGTTGCTCACCTGTTCAGTCCATGGTATTTCTATGAGGAAAAGGCACTGAAAACTTCCATCCAATCTCAATATAAACAAGGCTCAAACATTGTTGAGCAATTTGAAAAAGTTAACAGAAAACTTCAGAAAGTAATGTTATGTTTTTCTAGAAGGAATAAAGATTCATTCAAATGTATCAAAAATGTAATTTATTTATCAAGATCATAATCATCATAATTAGCATTGATAATAATAATGGTAATTTTAGCGTTTTCCTTTATAAGGAAACATTCTACATTCATTGACCAAGCAGCCAATGCTGTTGCCATTTGAAATTTATAAAATATTTCTCTTAAAACAATTTTTCAGGTAAATAGGTTTCTCAAATCTGGTAACTCCATCTTTCCTGTATTGGTGGTGGAGGAGGTTTCCTTCCTAACCTTTTATTTTATGTTGTGTGGAATGTCATTATTTTCTCTTCAAGTTACAAGTGATATCCATTTTAGTTGTTACTGCTGTTTTAAGATTTATTAACAATGGGCATAATCTTAAAAATATAAGTTATGCAAATGACACTGTGTTGATGGCTGACTCAGAAAGAAAACTACAGAACATCCCAGACAAGTTGGCAGAAGAAAGGAAAAAAAAAAAGGACAAACCATTAACTGCAAGAAGACAGAAAGTATGGTCATCAGCAAGAGAGAAAGCCTGAAATGCAAGTTACAAATTGAAGATATAAACATCAAGTAGGTGCAGTATTTTAAATATCTGGGAAGCATCATAACAGAAGATACAAAATGTGATATCGAGATTCGAACACACATTAGAGTAGCAAAAGAAGCATTCCAAAAGCTAAGCCAGGTGCTGAGAAATTAAAAATTTCTTTAGAAACAAAGAAAAGAATGCTGAATTGCTATGTACTATCTGTCCTTTTATATGGCAGTGAACATTGGAGAATCTCCCCACTGATGAGGAAAAAAAACTAGAAGCAGTAGAAATGTGGTTCTACAGAAGGATACTGAGCACTGGATGGAGCGATTAGGCAACAAGGAAGTCTTGAAGAAAATGGTAACAAAAAGAACGCTTCTACTCAGAATCAGGAAAAGAGATCTGAAATTCCTTGGACACATAACGAGGAAGAAGGATTTAGAAAACTTAACCCTCATGGGGCATATTGACAGCAAGAAAGATAGGGGATGGCAGCTAACCATTTACCTAATGATCTTGTGTGAATGAAAGGTGGAACAGGGATTGGAAGCCTTTGGAAAGGAAGAAAACCTGCTAAGAGCTATACAAGATAAGCGATCATGGCTCTCCACAACTTCCTATGTCCTAAGGAATATAAATATTCTGCCAATGCAGCATTGAACTATTTTTTCCCAGTGTGCCATTTTAAGTATTCTCTTGTTATATATTCTGATTTTTGAGTTTTTTTTCTTCCGTTCTTTCCTCTTATATTTATTTCTTCAAACCTCCCCCTCCCAATTCACTTTTCTCAATTATTTCCCATTTTTTATTAGGTAGGATTTTTTTTTTTCAGTCAAGTCAGAAACTGTAATTGGTTCTAGTTCAGAAGGGCATCAGATCATGCAGATACTACACTCTGATCCTAGGTAGAAAAGCATAAATAGTTATACAGTGCTGTTCGATAAAAGTGACTCACCTGATTTTTTTACTAAATGTTCTCTTCTCTGATGAAACAAAAGTTGAGCTAAATTCAAAGGATAAGCGATCTAAAATCCGAAGAAGAAGCTTTGAAAGCTCTTTGAAGTTAGCAGTAAATTTTGTTCCTATGAATATAAATGTTCTGCCAATGCAGCATTGAACTATTTTTGTTTCATCGGAGAAGAGAACATTTAGTAAAAAAAATCAGGTGAGTCATTTTTATTGAACAGCACTGTACATACAAACAGAATAAGTGCACAAATCCTAACAAATTTAATTTTTGTTCCATTTGAACAACTTTTTATTCCTATCCCCCAAAATGTAACATTAATTTATAAAACAACTCAATCATCATTAATGTCAGAATGAAATTTTAATTTAAAACCTAATGGAACATCAACTGTAATATGGAGTTTTCAATTTTTTTTTTTTTTCGGGACAAATGAGAATGAGTATTTTGAAATGATTTTATTTAAATATTTAAGACTTTATTGTAAAAACATTTGTTTAAAAAAAGTAAAATCCACACTTGATATTTTGAAATCCCAAGAATTCTTGAAGCTACTTTAATAAGTTGGTAGTGGATAATACAATTTTCTGTGAAATACACATCTTGGAAACTGTAGCCATTTATCATCTTAGGATAAAATCTTTAATATTTTATCAAGCTTACAACTATTTTTTTCTTTCTTTCCAGGTCAACCTGGTCCCAAAGGAAATAAGGGAGAACCTGGAAGTGAGGTAAGTCTCTTTTCTTTCTTTCTTAAGCTTTTGTTTACCATTTTTCTGTAGACTTTTGTTTGTTTGTGTTTTAATATATTCTATTGGCAATTATCTTCTATATGATATTAAAGAATGACACTATCATCTACAATATAAAAATATTTCAAAATGAAGGAAAGGATTGCAAAACCCAAGTATATATAATGGTCATAAAGTACATGTGAAATATGAAAGACTTTTAACAACTGGGAAGATGTAATCATAAAGTCTTTTATCAGTTCTCAGTAGGAATCTCTAATGAAAAAAAAATTTCATCACTTCCTGTTATACCTTATATATATAAACAAATGTTCCAGTTCAGATAGACTGACAACTGAATATTTTGTTCTAAGAGGCCACCTGTATGTGTATGCATATTCATACATTTTTTATCATTTAAATGTTATTTTTAGTGGATATTTATTTATTTATTAAACAGTATATTTATTTATTTTCATCTACTGGCCCGAATATTAGAGAAATCTTATTAAAGAAAAAGATGCACTCTTCAGCAGGATTTGAACCTGCATCCTCCCTAGCTGGAGAAACATTCATTAGATCCAACATGCTTTAGATATCCCAACAACTCAAGTTACCTAACTACATCAACATGTTGACACAAAAATCATGCCACAGCATAATAAATATTTAAGATTCTCTCTCCATAAAATCTTTACAACTATAATAATTATTTCCAAACACACTCTAGTGATAGACTTCTTCTTGTAGTAATGTTAAAATAAATCATTGTTCTTTAGTTCTAATCTTATCATGTTTTCTACATGGGACATATAGTAATTGGAGAAGCACGGGCCAAGCAAATTTCCCATATTAACACCACAGCTCCATTAGAACTCATTTAAACACACTCACAAATCTACCAGACTCTCTCAGAAATATAGTAGTAGAAAATACAAGCATAATAACTTCATCCACATGTAAACAGAGATAAAAAATAATGGAAGCCCTAATAATAAAAATGAAAAAGCCAACACTTAATAACATTAACTACGAACTATACGCGGGTGGACTTCGCTGGTCGCTAACCTGGTTATGGAAAAGGATATTGACGCTTCACAATTATTGCGACTGTTGAATTCACACTGTTTCAGGCCTATATCCAGAACCCAAACAAAAGTAATCCTTCACTCTCAGAATAGCACAAGACACTGGCTAATCACTGACCATTCTAGCCCTGTCCTTCACATTCTGTAACATCTCTCTTTAAAGACATATGTGTATGGGACTGGTTAATGGCTTTAGCTTACTACTGCTAGCTATGGTATAAATAGCTGGAGAACTCTCGAGTTCTATACCTGTCTATATTTCTGAGATGAGGTATTATGTACATTATTTACATTATTCGGACTATTGTCCTCATCTTTGCCGCCATATTTATTACAACATTTTGGCCGTTGTATGCTCCGGCCTTCTTCAGGTGGTTGGAATGTCAAACTTAGATCCAGTGAGAGGACCCAAAGAGTGTGAGTTCAATACCCGGTTAAGGCAGTGGAAAACTTTCAGAGGGAAATTAACAGGAAATAACTGATAACTGACATCCATTAAACATGGCATGTGGAACTAGAACAGTCTACCCCAGTGAGCGAAATAAACGGTTCAATTTGACATTCCAGCCACCTGAAGAAGGCTGGAGCATACAACAGCTGAAATGTTGTAATAAATATGGCGACAAAGATGAGGACAATAGTCCAAATAATGTAAATAATGTACATAATACCTCATCTCAGAAATATAGACATATAAATATATTTCTAAATTAATAGATTTATTTATAATCTGATATTTTTTTATTACTCCAAAAATATTTTGATTGCAATATATATATGGTTTTTGAATTTATATGTCTGCGGAATTTGATTATGATTCCAATGTAATAAATTATAACCATGGAATATTAGTGTTTGAGCCTTTTATATTATATATAATCTACATATTTGATAATGACCAATAAATTAGCTGAAAGTGCTTGAATTTACAGATCATTTGGATAGTTTTTACACACTTTTTATGCCCAGAAAAGAAATCACTTGTATGAATGCAAGAAAGATTTTATAAAACGCTTAATTGCAGTGCCTTATCAGACATATTCAATGAAGCTTGTATAAAAAAAATGATTGTTACCCAAATATACAATTATATATAGTGCATTTTATTACTAAGAATGATGTTTCAGCTATTGACTGCTCCTGCCTTCTTCAGGTGTTTGTTATTGCTATTAAATCTGCTGGCTAACAGACATCCATCTATCATGGTAGTAGAATGAGAGCAATGTATCTGAATGGATTGAATAAAGGGTTCAGTTTAAAATTCCTAGAAGGTCACAAGGACAGACTCATGAATAAGGCCTGCAGGTACAGTGGCTGAAGCATTACTATAATGGCAACCAAGATGAGGACAATAGTCTGAATAAATCCTGTATATTTGTAATAATCTCTTTTGCTTATTTGAACCACCATGCCTCTTAATGTTTTTAGTTGATCAATGCTGACTCACTGAATAATATCTGCTCTAATTTTCTGAGCAGTCTTGTAGAGTATAGGTGCAATTATGCCATTTAGTATATTTGTAAAATTCCAATCCACTACCGATAGTATGTGAAAGAATAATGTAGATGAATTGTTTTTTTTTTTATTTAAGAAGGTAATGAAAGTAGTCCAATCTTTACACAAGTTACCTATCCAAATTTCCTTTATATGCTCAATTAAGAAACTATAGCAGGATACACTTGAGAAATTCTTCAACCCCAATGAGAATTAAGGATTATAGTAGTTCAGAATTTTATTAAATCTATGAGATGAAAAATATTATTTTTGTCTAAATATTTAACAGAATTTGTTTTAATTTTTGTCTAATAGCATTTTTTTGTTTTTTTATTTCAAATTTGAAACTTTTATCTTAATTTAATTTTAAAATCATTTATTTTCTAATTTATACTAAAGTGGCCAAATTGTTCTGTTTGCATTGTAAATGTTTCCATATTAACTACAATCAACTGTGTATTTACAATTACAAATAAAATTGTAATTTTACTTTTTTTTACTTTTTTTTTAAATCATACTTTTTTTTTTTTTATTTTACAGGGTCTAAAAGGAGATCAGGGAAGCAATGGTTTCCCGGTATACCAAAAATATCTTTTAATTTTTCTTTGAAATCCTTTTATAATTATTATGAAAATTCTTTATGTACCTATTCTCTTGATAATTCAGATGCTTGCTTAGCTTCATGTGGCTAATAAAACTATTTAAACCAGTGTTTTCTAATAAAGATAGAAAAAAAATGACATTTGTAGATTGTGCCATAATGAGATTTCTTTATAATTGTGGATTACAAATGATGTGAGAAAACAAGAAAATAAAATTAGTAACAATTTAAATTTTTCATTGAAATTCATTGCCCAACATATGAGGATTTATATAAAGAGGAATTATGGAAATTTCTTGGGGTATTTTTGCAAGTAGAGAATAAGACAAACTATTTTATGAATAGATAATAGATGATTCATTTTAACTACAATTTCTTTATGGATAGCTTGTTGTGATAAAAAGCAATAATAAGATGGAGCAAGACTAGTAATAACAATGTTCAACCCAGATTTCAATAATAAGATTAGGTAAGATAACAGCCATGTCAAACAGGCTCCCAAAGATGCAAGTTTACATGTTGTTGTAAGCTAATATCTATTTCAAAACCATTCTCAATATTTTCTTTTTTCTTTTTTTTTTATCAATTCATCTCAAGTAAGACAATGATATCAGTGGGAATCAAGGGGTAACTGGGAGTGAATACGAATACTTTAGAAGGAACTGGAAACCCAAACCTAAACAGGAAACGAGGGATAAACCTCTACTCCTGTTCAAAAGAAATAAGATTGTGATAAAATAGAATAAAAATAAAGAGATGTAAACATAGTCAAAGAATTAATAATAAAATTCAAACAATGTAATTTCTTAATCCTGGAATCATTAAAAGTAGATTTTCTTTCTCGAACCTATTAATTAATGTCCCAATTATTTATTTCATAACTTTGGTTCATTAAGATAATTTTACTGTTTATGGCAGGCGAGATGTAGATCCCACCCGCCATAAACAGCAGAATTTAAAAAACAGAAAGCTTAATTTCCTCATATATAATGTCACAAAACAATGGTAAATCTTTCAACTACAGATAATTTTATTATTATTATATACTGTGAAAGTAATAATTTGTTATATAATTTAATGTAAATTTTTATCTTCCGAATTTCTTAACGCTACGCTACGAATGTAGGGGAGATAACTCTACAGTATATTTTTACTCTCTAGCATTATTTATCTTTGTGGGGAAACACTGATGTAAATAGTATGGCTTCTTTTATCGTCATTTATGCTGCACTAGTAAATTTTATAATTTTTCTGCTTTTTTGTTAAAATATATCAGGTAAAATGCATGGGAACTATTAAAACAATCCTTTTATTTCCTGTACTTTATTTTGAGGGAAAAATAAGTGTGTCAAAGAAGGTCAAGAAGACATTGTTATTGTTGACAATTGACATTTTCTCAATATCTTGGCGTTTATCAAGTGTTGACGAGTCCTAAATAATATCCTGATGTTTAATGACAAATATCATCAAGATAGAGGAACCTACATGAGTTTTATTTCTCTACAGTTAAAAATAATTTAATCTACCATTTTTTTTTCTTCATATGAAAAAGTGTTACTGTTGGTTGAGTATTGCTGATAGTGGAAAGTTGTCTATTTCTACAGTACACGTAGATTCTCAAGAAAACATACGTTCTTCTTCAATGTGCCACATCCTTTCGGGACGTGGGCGATCATGGCTCTTCCCAACTTCCATCCTGCCATCCATTTACACAAGCTAGGTAGGTTATTCGATGATTTTGTTATATTAAGTGTTTTGTAGCAAGAGAAAGGTATAATGAGGATTAAAATTTGAACAACTTTTATTGTTGGTAGGTCGTACATAGATGATAAAGGGTGTGTGGAATGTCCGTTTCAGTGGCCAGTCAGGAGTAGGGGCAGCACCAGAGGTTGACCTAATTCTTATGTGGGTATGGTGTGAGATCACAGGACATGGTTGATGCCCATGTCAGTTAATCAAGGTCACAGTGGAGGGTAGTATATCATAATGGTATGTCGAAGTTAGGTGAAATGTCAGTTTCAATTGGCAGTCATCAGGATAGCGATCTGGTTTAAGTGTAGCGCTGGGAGTTGACCTATTTCTTGTGCTGGCCTGGCCAAGGCCACAGGATATGGTCGGTGCACATTTGGTTGATCAAGGTCACAGTAGTGGGTCATTTTGTTGGTTGGTAGGTCTGTTGTGTTTTACTTGGGTGACATCAGATTGGCGTCATGTGGGGTTTCATGCTTGAGGAGTCGGAGTCGCTTATTTGCAGAGTTGGAGTTGCTTGCTTGTGGAGTCAGAGTCACTGCTTGCAGTGGTAGCTTGATTGTGGGATAAGAGTTGGGTTTGCCAAGGTGACAGCATAGGTGGTGAGGAAGGCTTGTAACATAATGATGTTGATGTTATTAAGTTAGTATTTGTTGAGGTGACAGCATTGTCAAAATTGCTTTTGAGTCAAAGATGGATAGCCGAGTTGGTTAGTCAAGCCTAGGACTGGTAACAGTTGGTGAGAGGTGTGATCGTGTTGAGTGGTGGTGGCGAAGGTCACGGCAGTGGCAGCAGCAGCACACTATGTGATGGCCGGTGGTCCACCATGCCAAGAACCGCTGGTGTTGTTCTCAGAGATCTGCTTTTAAGCAGGTCTGGTAGGCCCTAGAGGCATTTCTTTTACCAGCAGAATGTTTGCAATTGGCCACTGCCGAAGCTCACTTCATAGACCAGATGAGATGTGTGGAGCTTAATGTGCAGAAGACGACCTTTCTTATTTCGTTTTCTGCATTCATGGCATTAACATTCAGCCAGCATGCAGAATGAATCAAAAAGAGATCTAATTGCAATGGAGTATAACAATTTTTTTATATCCTGACTGCCTTCAATAAGTCCTGTGAGTGCCAAATTGTCCAAGCCCTTTCTGATTTCAACTGTCTGTTTCTGATTAAAAGTATAAGCAACCTTTTTGTTTCCACTTCTCACAAAACTTCCTTGTTACTTATATTCTCAGTCTATTACATTTTCAGCATTCTTCTATAAAACCACATTTCTGTTGGTTCAAATCTCTTCTTCATCTGTGAGGAGATTGTCCAACATTGACTGCCATAGAGGAATACTGACATTACTTAAGAGTTTAGTATTCTATTCAAGGATACATGATCCAGTGGATAAAAGTGTTGGATGAATCCAGTGACTTGATCCAAAGAGTTGTAAGATTAATACCTGGCTGAGGTGAACAAAAAAACTTGGAGAGTTGAGTTAAAAGGGAAATAACTGATACTGAGACATCCAGAAGAGGCATGGCATGTGAAACTAGAACAACCTACCCCATTGTGCAAAATAAAGGGTTCAGTTTGAAATTCCAATCACCTTCATAGGTTCTAACAATTAATCTTTTTACCATCCTTCCCCTCACTGTTCTGCCATCCGCTTACACAAGTTTATTAGGTAGGTTACTTATGATTTAATTATGTCCTTTTTGTCTTCTTTATGTCCTGTGAGTGTCAAATTTCCAGGCCTTCTTTTCTCATTATGTATCCCTAAAATTTCAAGGGAGCATCATTATCATTCTGTAGAATCACATCTCTGTTGCCTGAGGTCTTCTCTTCATCTGTAAAGAAATTGTCCAACATTCACTAAGAGGACTGACCATGACCTCCTTTGGTGCATTTTGATTGATTGGAAAATAAATTTTGATGATTTTGTCATTAAATTTTGTTTGGTGTTAAGTGTTCACTGGATCTCTATCATTGAACAAAATTGAAATTTTCATTATTCACTCAACTCTGGAAGAAAAAACAATCATTACAATAAAAAAAAAAACACAAATTATAAAATTGTTTTCAAGATAACAAATATAAGGAGACTTTTCTTCTGTTACTCTTGCTTGTTAAATTACTTATTAGACATTTCAAATATAGAGATGAAGAGGTTTCAGCTTTGCTCATCACTGGTTTTACTCCTACATCTCTTATTTGATTGATTTTCAACATGAACAGATTATTACACATTAAAGTCAAGAAGAAAGGGATTAACTATAAAATTACATTGTAATTTTTTTTTTTTTAAACTTTTCACCCCAAGCAAGACAGGAGTGCCACTGGCACACAAGGGGTTACTGAGAGCGGGAGCAAGATTAAAGAGGCATGATAAAGGAAAGGATGAAAAGAAGGACAAGGAATAGATCAAGGCATCTGGAGATGTCCATTGACATTGCATTTGAATAGTTGGAGATTATAGCTATCAAGGAAGCAAGTAAGAGAAAGGGAGTTCCACAGATGGGTAGTGTAAGACATGAAGCTATTGGAGTAGAAGAGACAGCTACATTTAATCATTTCAAGAGTGAAAGGGTGAGGATGAGATGCTGATCTAGTGGCATGTTTAAATTCATGCAGTTTGGGAACTAGCAAAAATAGCTTGTCGGAGCAGTTACTGTGAAAATATTTGTAGAAAAGACAGAAGGAGGCAATGGCACATCTGTGAGAGAGTGACTGTAAACAAGATGTCAGATCTGGGCCAACCACATTGCATATCTGTCTCTGGATTTTGTTGAGGACCCTGCCACAAACAGCGGGGGCTCCAGACCATATATAACAGCAATATTCCATGCAAAAAATGGTTTTACTATAGAAATTCATTGCAAATCAAAACGGAGATTTTCAGGGCTTAGTAAACATTACTGACAGAATAATATATAATTATCAATGCAAATGCATTGATAATTATTATCATAATGGGGATGAATTGAAAATCAGGAAGAAAGCAATTGTCGTTGGTCAAAAATTAGTGCAGACATTACCAACAAGATCCTGTTATTATAATCAAATCAATCCTTTTTCTTAGAAAATCAAAGTGACATGGTTCTACATTAGCATCCCACCATTCCAGAAATCCACTCTTTATCTTTATTCACAGTGATGAATAATTTTTCCCATGCAATTTGCCTTTAAATTATAAATCAAGTTTTAAAACAATTGTAAGTTAAAAACTATTTATTCCATTT